CGACACGTGGAAGACGGGATGAATGTTGCTAAGCTCTTGGGGTAAACGAAGTTTATATGCTACGAAACCGATCCTAGCGAGGATCTAGAAATGGTCCTATGTATCTCGGATTTAGCTTTCCACGCTTTCCAAAGCATATCATGCCCTTCTAGGGTGAGACCTTCAACAGGACGCGATCACCAACCTGGAACTCCAAAGGTTTTCGTCTCTTATCGGCGTAGCTCTTTTCTCTATCTCTTGAAGCTTTTAGTCGTTCTCTGATTTGTACGATCTTTTCTGGGGTTTCACGGATGATTTATGGGCCTGTGAGAGTGCTATCGGGGACTTGACCTTTGGCTAGCTGTGTGTCACCCACCTTAGCACAACACAAAGGGGATCTGCACTTACGGCCATAGAGGGCTTCAAACGGCGCAACCTTGATGCTAGTATGATAGTTGTTGTTGTAGGAGAACTCGACCAAGGGCAAATGAGTATCCCACGACTTACCAAAGTCGATAATGCACGCTCTCAGCATGTCTTCTAAAGTTTGGATGGTCCTCTCACTCTGCCCATCGGTCTGTGGATGGTAAGTTGTGCTCATATCCATCTTAGTTCCAAGAGCCTTCTGCAGTGATTGCCAAAATCTCAAGGTGAATCTGCTATCCCGATCGGAGATAATGGACACAGGCACACCATGCAGACGAACTATCTCTTGGATATATATTCGTGTCAGTCTCTCCATCTTGAATGTTTCTTTGATTGGCAGGAAGTGGTCAGATTTAGTCAATCTGTCGACGATTACCCAGATACTGTCATGGCCACTTTGGGTCTTTGGCAACTTGGTAATGAAGTCCATTGTGATTCGTGCGCACTTCCACTCAGGTATTTTTGGCTGTTGAAGTAGACCTAAGGGCTTTTGATATTCCACCTTTACCTTGGCGCAAGTCAGACACTTGCCCACGAAGGTAGTAATCTCTGCTTTCATGTTTGGCCACCAATATAGCTTTTTGAGATCCAGATACATCTTATCCGAACCTGGGTGAACAGAGTATCGAGTCTTGTGAGGTTCGCACATAACAACCTCTCTGTAACCGCCGAACTTCAGGGTCCAGATCCGGTTCATGAAATAATAAACTCCGTCTCCCTTGATCTCTAAGTTCTTTTCCATTCCCCTCAAGGCTTCATCCTCCACGTTCTCTGGTTTTAAGGCTTTTAACTGAGCCTCTCTGATTTGTGTGGACATATAGGAATGGATAGTTATCGTAAGTGCCTTTACTCTGCGACCTGAATGCTCTTTCTGGCTGAGGGCATCTGCTACCACATTGGCCTTGCCGGGATGATAGCGTATTTCACACTCGTAATTGCTGAGTAGCTCAACCCATCGCCGTTGCCTCATGTTCAACTCTTTCTGATCGAAAATGTGATGTAAGCTCTTATGGTCGGTGAAGACAATGCCCTTGGTTCCGTAGAGATAATGTCTCCAAATCTTTAGTGCGAAGACCACTGCTCCCAACTCCAGGTCGTGAGTTGTATAATTGACTTCGAGTGCTTTCAGCTGTCTCGAGGCATAGGCAATAACCTTTCCTCGTTGCATGAGCACACAGCCTAGGCCCTGATTGGATACATCACAGTAGACAACGAAGTCCTCCATCCCTTCTGGCAGGGATAAGATAGGTGTGTTGCATAAGTCCTGCTTCAGTGTTTGGAACACAGTGTCTTGACTTTCTCCCCAACTAAAGGTTATACCTTTCTGATTCAAGGCGGTTAGAGGCTTAGCAATCCTGGAGAAATTCTGGATAAACCTACGATAGTAGCCAGCAAGACCCAAGAATTGACGGATTTCTGTGGGTGTCTTCGGTGCTGACCAACTTTCTATCGCTTTAATTTTGGAAGGGTCCACGTGTATGCCTTCTTCGCTAACCACGTAACCGAGGAAAGTTACTTTTCTGATCCAGAATTCGCACTTTGAGAATTTTGCATATAGCTTCTCCGCCCTCAAAGTTTCTAGCACTAGCCTCAAATGCTATCTATGATCTGCCTCACTCTGAGAATAGACAAGTATGTCATCAATGAATACTATTACGAACTTATCTAGGACGGGGCGGCACACTCGATTCATCAGATCCATGAATACCGCGGGTGCGTTGGTTAGACCAAAGGGCATCACTACAAACTCATAGTGACCATATCGAGTCTGAAATGCTTTCTTAGGAACATCACCCTCATGGACTCAGAACTGATGGTACCCTAACCTTAGGTCTATCTTGGAGAAGTAGTTGGCTCCTTGAAGTTGATCGAAGAGGTCGTCGATTCTGGGTAAGGGGTAACGGTTTTTGATGGTAAGCTTGTTCAGTTCACGATAATCTATGCACATCCGAAAGGATCCATCCTTCTTTTTCACGAATAGGATCGGGGCTCCCCAAGGTGAGGAACTTGGTCTGATGAATACCTTGTTGAGTAGTTCATTGAGCTGGCTGGATAAATCTTGCATTTCTGCCGGCGCTAGACGGTAAGGGGATTTAGCTACGGGGGTAGCTCCGTGGATTAAGTCGATTCGGAACTCGACTTGGCGCTCGGGGGGAATTCCGGGAAGATCTTCGGGAAAGACATCAGGAAAGTTGCAGACTTCGGGGATACTCTCGAGGTCTTTAACTTCCTATTTCTCGTTAACCACATGGGCTAGGAATGCATAGCACTCCTTTTGCATATATTTTTGGGCTTTGATGCATGAAATGATGCGAAAGCTTGAGCTGAGTTTGTCACCATAGATAATGAGGGTTTCGCCTGATAGCAGATTGAGGAGAATGGCTTTTTCATAACAAAGGATATCAGCACGATTGGGGCTCAACCAATCCATGCCAATGATGACATCGAAGCTTTTTATGGAAACTGGCATGAGGTCGATTGGAAAAGAATGGTCGTTTAGGGTAAGGATACAACCTATGAATACGTCGTTAGTGCTCTCTTTCTTTCCGTTAGCCATCTCGACAGTGAATGTTTCGGTTAAAGGTTGGGATTCATGCTTGAGTAGGTGTTTAAATGAATGACTAACAAAACTTCTCTCCGCACCATAATCGAAAAGAATGCATGCATAAGAGTTCTCTCCGCACCATAGTCATTTTAAACCCGTTTCTATGATCCTTATATCTACGCGAAGGCGATGATGAGTTCTATAACTCCATTAAGTCACTTTGGACTAACTACTTTACAGGTCTTAATCTGTTAAGTCACAAAACTGACCGAAAAAGCATAAAATTCATATTCTACCCTTTATGGCCTAAATGCACCATCTCTTGCATTTCTTCTCTTTAAATCACTTATCTCATCTTATAAATGTGACTTAGACTTATCTCAACCCGTTTCATGAAATTACATCTTCTCAATTCATGAAATTCCTCTAAATGACCAAATTACTCTTTTGGTCATTTATTCACCCAAAGTCATTTCTCTCTAATTTATGGGTTCTTACACAACATATATAGTCACTTATATGACCGTATCGCACCGATATGTGATACACTAACATTTTCTATATATAGAATATATTTTAATCAAACAACCCACCTTTATTTTAAATAAGCTTCTAAATATATATTTCATATGATTGGAGTTGAACCGATCTCTATTAACACAATCCCTTCTTATCACTCTACATACTCCATGTGTTATATATTTTTGGATTATTTATTTGTTCACATCGACAACAACCACTTATCTTGTTTAGTGATTTCCAATTGATGTCTTTGGTTCGTGTTCCTTTGAATCAGGTTATTCCACCTTTTTTTCATGCACTATTAATAAGCTTTGCAGCTTATCGACCACAATCCATTGATATCTTTCTATTATTTGATTACATAAACAACAAAATAGTCTTTCTATTAATAAGATTTGATGTTAAAGATCAAATAATTTTCTCAATCGCTATACCATCTTTCTCTTATTTTCATGAATTTGAATTTTGTTGACAACGAACATCTCTCAATGAGAATAGTTCGAAACATATGCTTTCAATAAAGTCACTTTTCTCTTTATAAGGATTTTTTGGAGAGTTAATATGAAATTATATATATTTCTTACATGGTATTAGATGATGTCCTCCACGGTTTAAAATAGACACATCTACCTCATGTGCTCATCAAACCTCCATCTCTCGGAGTGTTAGTGTATCTTATATCGTTGCGACATGGTTTATAAGTGTCTATATATCTTGGAGTCTATGCTCTTTTCATAAGAGAGCTTTTTTGAAGAGTTAATATGAGACAACGTTTTCATAAGAGAGTTTTTTGAAGAGTTAATATGAGACAACGTATATATCTCATACAAATATCCTTAGAGGTATCTTTGTTGAGAACTGTTTTGAAAAATGATCGATCGATGGCTTGAAAAGGATAATTTTTGGCTTTTAGGTCCTTTTAACTCTAATTTCTCTTGTTGAGCCTCAATAAGATTGACTACAAGTGGTTTAGCAACACAAAATTCAATAACGAACCACTACGCATTCCACTTCAATGAAATTATCCAACATACTCCATTGTTTATATTGTCCATAGAAGGAATGAATAGTACGTTGATTAAAGTTACTTTCACTCTTTCACTAGCCACCATTACAGTAGATGTGTAGACTACTTTATTTTCATGGCAGTTTGTTGTTTCTTCAGTTGGAGAATAAAGCTTCAGTTTAGTGCTCTGTTTCTCTTTATCTATCTTAATTATACCAATATTGAGGATATTAGGAGTTAGAGGTAACCCACTCATTATACATAAATCAAATAGCCTTTAAATAGGTGTACATCAAACAAAAAGATAAAGTAGGAAAATAGCAATTATCCGAAACAAATTACTAGAAAATCTGAAACTATCTAAACTTTCTCAACTTGGCAAACTTTAAACCGCTGTCCAAATAGTCCTCTCTAACATTTTATCCCAACACTTCTTAAAATAAACCATAGGCTCCCTTTCCTAAACAGGCCTAGATCTGGGCCTTTACCATGCCTAAAAGCCCTGTTCTTCGAAGCCAAGCTCTAAACCCGGTTAACAATGTCGGTAACAAGCCCAGGTCGAGGCCTTGGCCTTCCTCCGCCACCATCCTTGCAACCTCCGGCAGACTTGTTCATTATCCACTTTTCCGGTATCACCTTCTTACCATCATCTTTGTCTTCTTCCTTCTGCTTCATCATTATCCTTCCGTTAGAGGTCTGTAAGCACTTCGGGAAGCTCGATGATAGCTTTGGATCAAGATCCAATTTCCTATTTCCGGCTGCATTTCCAACGCAAATATTTTCTACCATGTTCTGCAGCGGTACTTTGGTGTTCGTGAACCCTGATCCGTTCATCGGAATATTCCAGTTGACTCCGGCGACAACACTTCCAGCTTTCTTCCCTGATTGATCTCCAGCGATGTTGCTGAAACTATTTGCTCCTATTGCACCACTCGAAGCTGAAACTTCTTCAAACCATTTCTGTGCATTCAAAAAAGTAATCTTCATGCATCGAACCATGCATTTACGTATAAGAAGAATTAAAAATTCAAAAACTGATGACTTACCATTTCCATGTGTTCTTCCTTGAGTCTCCTAGCAACTCCTTCAAACTCAGCTGCATTATACATAGAATTCTGAATAATGCTAACAATGGAAGTGAGGTTACGCTCGATGTGAGGGTGATTAGACGTCAACAAGCCACGTAGATCTTCATTTGTGATCGGCATCTTCTTGGCTACACATTAAGTTACCAAATTCGATAAGATTTTGATAGTAAAGCTAAAAGAAAAGAGTTGAATTCGATCAAAAACATGGGAAAAACTAAAAGTATCTGTTTTTGAGTTACCAATTTCGATAAGAATTTTGTTTGGCAATACATATCCAGTACTTTCATCTTCTGCACGTGCAACAATGTCTCTCCATTCACAAAGCGCCTGTGTGCCATTTACAAACAAAACCTTAAATTATTCAAATATGTACGAGAGAAAGTTAATTTCTTTGCAAAATGCAATGGAAATACGATGTCTTACTGCAACAATGGAAAGTTGTTGACCATTGAGATCAGCTTCATGCAACCTATATCAACAAACAGCGAGTGTTATAAATATATAAGTGGATTTTCTAACTAAAATAATGTAAAAAAAAAACAAAAACAAAAGGTAATTTTGGTAATTTTGGCATCAACAAAAACAGCGAGTGTTATAAATATATAAGTGGATTTACAATTCTTAAAGTCAACAAATGTGAAAAAAAAAAAAAAAAAAAGTAAATATGGATTTGTAAGTTATATGAAGAAAGATAACCTGTCCGGTGTCAAACATATTGCAAACATATATGCCAAAGTCTCGTTGCAGCCACAAAATATCTTTATCTGCTCCATGCATAACCTGATGAAGTATATATATATATTTTACAGTGGGTAAAATTTAATATATAATATGACTCACATATTATACATAAGACTATATATTATATATACCTTTCTTTTAGTTGGATCTTTGAAAATCTCTCGCAAATATGGACCAATGTGAACACGAAGTTTGAGTGTATCAACAATGAAATCTTCTGTTCGTGTAGATATTTGCATTAAGCAAGTTAAACCTTGGAAAGATCGATATTGGTTGTGTTCCAAATCAACCTAAAGAAAAAACATAGAATGATACAATTAATGTCTAGTTTCAAAGAGAAAAGTAGCCTGTATACTCTCAAAGTCAAACATGGTCAATGGAAGAAAGTACAAATTACCGCAAATTCATTAGTGTCATGCAACTTTGCAACAAGTTCTTTCAAGTCTTTGACGTCTTGTACAAGCTTTAATGGTGTTGTTTCAACCGGAGGTGGCTTTAATGGCTCGGTATTGGTCATACTTTTATTAACAAAGTCGAAAACCGAATGTTTTTCCTGTGTGTAGAAGAGAAGTAAACCACATGTATGAAGAATTTTGCTACTAAATAACACAAAACCATAACATTTATGCTTTTCATGACAAATTACAACAAAAACATGCCCAAGTCCCATAATTAAGGAGCCGGATAATGAGAGATAAAACATAGGCAACCTCAACCCCAACCCAAGAGTAGGGGGATTGCTTCCATCTAAAACATAAGGAAATAAAAACAAATTCAAACAATAATGTTGAAAGTAAAGAGGAACAATGTTATATAGTGAAAGCAGGTATTAACAATAATAACATACTATCAAGCTTTGCATGACAAATTGCAAAGCGGGTAATTAACTTTTTAAAAATATGTCAAATAACTTTCATTCTATCAAGATTTATTGAAAATTTAATTTATATTAAACAAAGTCACTTTACTAGTGTTCTTGATCATACATAAGAAGTTAACGATCGACTAATATAATATTTCTTGCTTTGAATCTATCATGGAATTGATAATTGAAAAATCAAAGAAAAAGCATCACATTAGATATGAAAGAAAGAAAAGAAACTAACCAATGGGTGTATGAGCCTAGACCCATCCTCACTAGTCTTCAACCAAACATGCTGAAAAGGTTGATTTACATTGTTCACCACTATGTTATACACATCTTGCGGCTTTGGAATCCAATTCATGTGAAAAGACACTTTTGGCCTTTGTGTCCCCATTGCATTATCTTCCAAAGAAACTACCTTCACAGATGAAGAATGATTAGCTTCCATGTTAGGGTAATTACTATTAACTAACAAATCTTTCTCAATGACTTTCTCTTTCTTTAGATTAACTAATTGAAATTTAGTATCGTTAGGTAGATTTATTAGCTTCTGTTCTTTATATCTTGATTTCTTAATCTCATCAAGAGACGCATCAAACCTCTCAAACATCTCATGATTAATGTTGATTAACCAGTTATAAACTTCATCATATTTAAGATCATATTTAGGAAAACGCTTCTGAGTTTTGCCCCATAGTTTCTCAGAAGGAATATATTCAAGAATCAACTGGGACTTTTTAGAGGTTTCTTGAATTGGGTTTTTGAATTCTTCAAAGTTGACATAGAAATTAATATTTTTATTGCTTGAGATTTCTCCTGAACACCCGGAAATCTTTGACATTGAGGAAAAGGAATTGCTCTTTACAGAGGAAGCAACCAATGATTTCTGGGTTCGGGATTCTTGAGTGAATGATGGATCCATTGGGAGGTTTTAAATATGAAATTGGAAGAGAAAGAGGGGTTTTGGTGGAAGAAACGTTTAGGGGTTTATGGGTTTTATAGTTTAAAAAAAAAAAAACGAAGAATGTGTGTTTCCCAGCAAGATTCACGTTTACTGGTGTTCTTCCATGGAAACTGTGTGTGATTGTTAGTAAAAGAGTGTACAATGAACATGAGAATTTTGTTTTTTAATACGAATCGTACAAGAAAGCTTACAACAATTTCGAAATAACTTACAATATTCTCCAAGTTTTTTAGTTTCAGATTATTGTGTTTGAAAGAAGTTAATCCCTTGCCTTATTGTTTTTCCAATGCAATGCAAGAAGTTAATCCCTTGCCTTATTGTTTTTCCAATGCAATGCTTATAGCTTTGTATACACATGGGGTCCTATCTATATGGCAAGTCTTGAGCCACAAGGAAACTACAAGATATAACTATTACTAATTACAAAGATAAGTACAATGTACGCTAATAGTTTTATATTTTTATTGATAACTGAATATAATTCCATAATTCTTTACATATTCTAATTAGAGGTGTTAACAAATATCCTAATTCGAAGATCCGATCCAAATCCAAATATCTGATACAAAATTATCCGAACTTTTGGATATGTGATTTTTCGATTTGGATTTGGATAGCTATTTTCAAGAATTTCCGATATTTCAGATATCCGAAATCTAAAATATTATATTTTTAATTCAAAATGAAATACATGGCGATAGTTTGAGACGGAGGGCTTAGTTCGCTAACTTTATACTTTATACGTAAGGCATTTCACTTTCGCTGTCAAATGTTTTTTTTTCTAGTTTTTGTGTTGTTTGTCTTTGCATACCAAGCTTTTATCCATGCCATGTTTTAAACATAATGAAAATTAAATTGTAATATTAAATGATACTTAAAAGGATATTGTTTAACTATTATATATTCAATGTGTTGTAAATTCTAGTTTTTAAGTCATTATGCGTTCTGTCTTTGGGTAATTACATAGTTTAATCTTAACTGATCATGACCTTAATTACACTATTTCAGTTAATCTTCAACTAAATTAGCAAACATACATGGGCACGTGGCTAATTTTGGATAATAATTGAGATAGAGAAATTAAATATCGTTATACATTTTCTTCTTACGTGAAATTGTGACAAGTATTATATTTTGATAAAATTAATTATATTTTAAGACACTTGTCATCATTTCAAATGAATATGAAGAAATTAAGAGGATATTTTATCCGTTAAACAGAAAAATCCACGGGCAGTTCAAGAAGTATGGTTTATGGTCACTTTAAAGCATTAAGTTAATGCATTTCATTTTATTTGTTAATTAGTAAAATGTAAAGAGTTTATGGTTGGTTTAAAGCATTAAGTTAATGCATTTCATTTTATTTTGTAATTAGTTAAATGTAAAGAAAATTTATACTCATATAGGATACGTATTTTGTGCAAAAGATACTATAATCTTTATTGAAGATACAACATTTTAGAATATCCGAATTCGTATTCGAAATTTCGTATATCCGAAATTTCAGATACGAATACGGATATTAATATCCACCATTCGAAATTTTCGGATATTCAGTTTTGAACACCCATAATTCTAATTTCTAACATTCATTAATAGACCGACACCTTATATATTTTAAAAGTAAAAAAAAAATACCAACAACAACAACAACAACAACAACAATAATAATAATAATAAAACAACAAAATGATTATCTTTCCAAAATTTAAACATTATGTAGTAGACTCTTTATATAACGAGGAACCCTAAAAAGCTGCCACCATCTATTTAAGATATCTTTTTCTAAACATTTTCTTATTTTCACATAAAAATATATCTTCACTACAAGAATAATAAACTTTAGTGGCACCATTAATAGTGGTGACGAGAGTATTAGTGTTTAGCGGTGACATTGAGCAAACACGCTTAGTGTCGTTAATATTCTCGTCTCCGCTAACAGTGGCGTCACTAAAGCTATAACTAGGGACCCGTTTGCTTCGTCCACCGTAAATCCAAGTCGTTAATAGTATATAGTGATCCAGAGGCTAGGGTGTACCGACATTTACCGTCACTGCTAAAGGTCGAAAATAGGATGGCGAGATTTTTTGCCTCAAGTAAAATGTGGTGTCGTCGCTAATGTTTTAAAGTAAAAACACCTTTTACGTTGTCCCTTTTCATTCATCGGCGAAGCTTATCCTTCCAATAGAGACCAAAGTCACAGGCGACGAAGGCCATCGAATTTCGGCAATGGTTTGCGTGCTTCCCTCATTTCTCTTTCTCTTTGTCTTCTCCCTCAGACCAACTTTCATACTTTGGTCATTTCAGGGCACCACCACAGCACTGCCTTTTCCACTGTTGTCGAAGTTCCACCACCACAACACCGCCTTCATGTAGAAATTAAACGCCCTAACTAACCCCTTCTTCTCTAACCTCCTCTCCATTTCTTCTCCATTTTTTATTTTTTTTGTCAGGTTAGTTCCACTGTGACAAACAACCGACGATCCTCCGGTCGGCGACCACCGTTCTACAGACTTGTTGCTGGTAGCGTTAGTGACCACCAAACAAAACAATTTTTTTCTTGGTATTTATAATGAAATGTATTCATTTGTGGATCGATATAGCTATGATTTATTATAGAAATTTATGGATGTACATTCATTCATGTTTTTGTTTTTGAAACATGATTGATTTTTGTTTCCTAGATCTGTCGGTGGTATTGTGCTAGTCTCATGTAGGGCTGTAAATGAACCGAACGATGGTTGTTCATGTTCGTTCTTTTAAAATTGTAACATCCATAAAATTCATGAAAAAATTAAACTTTTAAAACAACTCATAAATCATCTATGTTTACAAATAGTTTTCAAAACAAGTTTAATGTCAGAGTTTTCCCAAAATCATGAAATCAAAACTTGAGGAGGTGTACGTTCACGCATTCGCCTTCCCGCGATCCTCTGAGGTACCTGAAACGTAATCCAAAACTATAAACTCAAAGCTTAGTGAGTTCCCCCAAAATACCAATACACATATATACGACAACAACATGCAATGGGTCCACAGCTAACAGACTGGATTACCCCTGACCAGTCCTCGGACTAAATACCCCTTGGGCCCACAACTTATATCTGGACTACCCCTTGGGCCCACAACATAAGTCTGGCCTACCCCTTGGGCCCACAACTTATATCTGGCTTGCTCCCCGGCCTGATCAGTCCTCGGACTGAATACCACTAACCCCTCAGTACGAGTCTGGCATGCCCTTCCCGGCCCTCAGCTCGTATCTGGAATGCTCATGATCCCTCATTATGAATTTGGCATGCCCTCCTCGGCCCTCAGCTCATATCTGGTATGCTCCAGGGTTTGTTGTCTACAACACGGAGCAGTACAACCTTAACCCAACCTACACAATATGTCGACATATAACAGATAACATCACAAACAGATAAACAGACAGTATCACAGGTAGTCCTATAGATCTACCAAACTAGCATATCAAGACTAGCATGCATACCTATTCCATACTCAGCATATCAACGATATCATGTTATCAAACCAAAGGGCCGAGCTTGGTGCCTTCGACCCGAAAGTACAATGAGGAAAACTCACTTCACGAGCTGAACAGAACTGATAAGGCCCGACTCCAAATCTCAGCTCTCTACTCAATGCCTACATCCACCAAGTGACCAATTCCATCAAAATCCCAATAATACCCAAAATACCCTTAAAAGTCATACTTGGTCAAACTTGGTCAAACATGGTCAAACTCAAAGTCAACAGGTCATAGTCCAAAAACTCACCGAGTCAACCCAGCCGAGTCAACCCAACCGAGTGAACTCAACATGGGCTGACCCATGCGAGTACACGGGCGTACTCTGGAGTTACGCTCAGCGTACACAAGACTTCGCAGAGAACCACCATCGGGGTGGCTGACCGGGTACGCGGGGTGTACATCAAGTTACGTGGGGCGTACCTTTGCAGATTAAACTTCTTCATTAAGTGCTTAATGGCTTTAGCACTTAAGCTCAAACTTCAGATCCAAGGTCCAGAGGCACAATAGGTTCATAAAGTTCCCAACTTTATGACTTTCCACGTCCAAAAAGTCCTTAATGCAAGGTATTAATCCATTAAGACCTTCTACAAGAAGCATGGAGCCAAACTAGCTAAAGGGACCTCATTTTTATGGCTTAGGACCCTTCCTAGGGTCTAAAAGGACAACCCAAATCGTCCAAAACCAAACATGCATAGAAATGGGACTTTTGGGACAAGAAGAAGCACAAAAAGCTACCAAAATGAGATCCAAGCAAACAAAACATCAAGGTGAAGACTTTTTACCTTCTAGAGCTTCCCAAGAAGGTGATGATCCAAGATCCACAAGCTTGCTTCAACTTCTAAGCTCCTTGATGCAACTCCTTCTTCCTTAAGCACACAAAGGACACACTTTTAGCTCAAAAATACACTCTTATGGGGTTAGGGTTTGCCAAAAACGACTCAAGGGCTTGGAGGCTGGAAATGTGGGGGGTAAATGAGACATAATGATGCTTATATACCACCCAAACCCTAAAAATTAGGATTTTCTCCTGACAAGAGTACGCCCCGCGTACATAAGTGTACGCCCCGCGTACTAGGGCGCGCCCTAGTACGCTCAACGTACCCTCATGTATGCTTAGCGTACTCATCCTGCTCAAATTACCAAAATGCCACACGGCTTCAAGGCTCATTCTCAATCGCAATGGTCGTAAATTTTGTTTCAAGTAACTTTATGATTGAAGTTCTTAATAATATTATAGCGGTTAATTATTATAGTTTTTATGTAACTTAGGTGACGTTTGGATTATTTATTTAACTTAATAAATATTTCTTTTTATATTTTATAAAAATGTTTTATTAGTTTATATGATAATAAAAAAAATCAAAAATATTTAAATTATGGTATCAATTAATTATAACTTGTAAACCTTTTTAAAAAATATTAAATTACTTATAGTTATTTTATACGTATTTTAATGAATAAGTTATAATTTTTTTTTTTTTGAAATAATCACAATTTCTAACTTATTCAAAATGAGTTTTTGAAAGATAAAAAAACACTTTTAAAAAAGGACTATTAACTTAACAAGTATTTTTTTTTTAGATTTATTAGCTTTTTAAAAAATTATTAAGTCAATTAAAACTCAATCTAATACACCCGCTTAATAAAAATTGTAGACAAAACTTCAAAAATGGTCCCTGTGGTTTTCGAAAATCTGAAGTTTAGTCCATAATTTGTAAAAACCTCACAATTAGTCCCTATGGTTTCAAAACTTTTAACAAATGGTCCTTTTCGCTAACTCCGTTAGCTTTTGGCCATTAAGTGAAGGGCATTTTTGTCTTTTCATTACCACAGGGACCATTTATGAAGTTTTGCCCTTATTAAAAAAAATTATTATTTAATATTAAAGGTCTCTCTCTCTCTCTCTCTCTCTCTCTCTCTCTCTCTCTCTCTCTCTCTCTCGAAGGGTATATGCGCTTCACCCTTTTCTGATCCTTCTCCGGACAGACCAGATCAAAGAAATCGCTACAATCCCTCCTTTGGTTCGTTCGGTTGTCATAAGTATTGGTTACCACCCATTGACCACTGCCCAGTACCTCAAGACATAAAGATCACCGCTCAATCGATCCTTCTCCGGACAGACCAGATCTCTACTCCGACTGAAGGTATCGCAGAAAGATCCTTCGATTCGGTATCAGGTAAAGTCGATCATGGAATAATTGGCAAATTATCAAAGACGATCATGGGTTACTAGACATGGCACCAATACCTTCCTATAATTTCACCCCAGTTAGTCTTCATCTTACGATTAATTTTCGGGTTGTTATGTCTAATTTACGTTTATGAATTTGCAATTCTTGCTTTGATTGGCGATGGGATATTTGGGATTACAAGTAAATATTTTGTTTAGTCGGAGTCAGAGATGACACCAAATTTAAATGCCTGCCCAAATTCAAAAATATTGTTCTACTTTATCTTTTCCGTGTTCTTGTTCGGCATTTATGTTTCAGTTTATTTATAATCGGAGATGGTTGTTGTATCGGAGATAGGGATACTTGTAATTATACTTGTGTTTTCTTTTCAAATTCAGGTTCTTGTGATTTCACAGAATGTGGCATGCAATTTCGATGACCTGGGAGGATTACGGGGTTTCAGAGCATATTGGAATCGCCACTTACTTTAACCTCTTTCAATTGATGCAACTAGGCAGGCATCACTTCTAATTCCTCTTCTAGTAGGATTGTTACAGTAAAACTCCAAAAGAAAAGATTAATTGGTAGTTTCCTTGATTTGCCTGAACAATCTCGGCCTTGTTAGCATTGGCGTAGTTGTCGACTCGAAAGACGAGGTTTCCCGTGGTGTCTAAGACGGTGAATCCGTCGCAACTGAAGAGCAGGGATGTGGTTTCCGGTGGGTTTAATTTGCAGGTGGAGAGTAGAAGCAAAAGGGGTTTGTTTTGCAGGTGGAGAGAGAGAGAGAGAGAGAGAGAGAGAGAGAGAGAGAGAGAGAGAGAGAGAGAGGGGACCTTTAATATTAAATAATAATTTTTTTAATAAGGGCAAAACTTCATAAATGGTCCATGTGGTAGTGAAAAGACAAAAATGTCTTTCACTTAATGGTCAAAAGCTAGCGGAGTTAGCGAAAATGACCATTTGTTAAAAGTTTTGAAATTATAGGGACTATCCGTGAGGTTTTTAAAAATTAGGAACCAAACTTCAGATTTTCGAAAACCACATCGACCATTTTTGAAGTTTTATCAAAATTGTATCAACAACCTAGCTTCTATAAAACATATCCGCTATGAAAATATTTTGTTTTATAATTTAGTTGTAAAAAATAAATGAAATAGATAAATAAGTTATGTAAAATTAGTTTATTTTCATTTATCAATATATATGGCACCCTTGAAATCATGCATGTCCACCGCGTGTCACTAATTTTGATATCACCGAGCACTCCTTCGTTCCCAGCAAACTCCTGCTTCTACAAACACAAAACGCATCCGTTGCGCATCACAGAACACGATCCATATGTATGCATGTATTTAAATCTGTATATTCAAAATCGAATAAATGATTCAAAATCAGCAAAAAGAGAGGACGAAGAATCTGTCTTCAATTGCCGACGACGTTCTTCAACGATGTGCCCTGTACGTAACTAATCTCCATTTTTATTTTTGGATCGATACAGAAACTGGCGAGTATTTTGAATTTAATGTTTATTTTGATTGAATTCCAGGAAACTAAAGACATCCGTGAGCGTATTGGTCAAAGATTTTGATGGCAAATGGAAAGGGGAGAAGAAACAATACTCGAGGAAATTAGTTGAATATTGCTCCTCGAAAGCGCTGTATGAAATATGCAAAGACATGGAACAAACGATTAGGGAAGGAACCTTTAGTCGGTTGAGCTTTGATATGATGCTTGCTTGGGAGAAGCCTACCTGCGCTGATGAACAAGCTCAAGTGGTACACATGATTGTCTCTGTTTCTTTCTTCTTTTTAAGCTATTGGTTTTATCTGTGATATGTAATAGAGAGGTACAAAATAGGAATCTCTAAGAGACTCACAATTGATTACAGTTGTCATAATGCAAACTACATTTACACAGATGAAATATTGTAGGCAACTAGACAATGATGTCTAATTGATTCATTCAACCTAAGAAACTTCTAATCTAACACTTGAGCAAAAGAGAGTAAATTTGAGAGTGTATACATTATTGTGTTGATGATTGAAGGATTATAGTGACAATATTAGTATGTATAGGCTGCTATATAATAAGCTCTAAATCAATCTTTTGAACTACAAACTCGATAAAAACCCCCTGACTTCATATAGAACTTGGTAGTTAGGAAAGGAAAATATACTTTGACTCCTTTAGCTTTGTAGTTCTTTGTTGCATATGGATTATGGCCTTCAAGATCGGTTGGTATCTTTGTTCTTAAAAAATGGCTGTTCGATATTGTGTTCGCTTCTAACGATGGTATTAGGAATGTATGGCAAAGGAGAAAGAAGAAGTGAAGAAACCCGCAAAAGAGAAAGAAGATAAAAAGAAACCTGCAAATTCATCTAACAAACAAGATGACATTCCTCTCTTCTATTCAGACATCATGCCACTCCTTGTAAGCCACCATCTACCATTAGTATAGTGTTTCAATTTTCATCTTTTTTCTAATAACATATAAATATATAGTTCTTAAATATTTATAATAGATTTATTATGGTAGCTTTTGTAATCCCATATCATGTGTTAGTAGGTTAATAATGCACCAAATGTTGGAGAAGATGCATTTGTGTGGTTGGGATCATTAGTTCCTTTGGTGGCTGATTTCATTAATGGGAAGTTTACTTTCGAGACACTAACATCAAGTACACAAAATCGTCTTCATTATCCTGCTTACGACAAATTTCTTCAAGAAATTGCCAAGTAACTTTTTTGACTTTCACCTTCTACATGAAACTTAATCTATTTTCGAATAAAATCATTAGAGGGTGTTTGGTTCGTTGAATGTTTTTTTGGAAGGAATGAAACCTGTCAAAGGGATTGGAATTTGAATGAATCATAATTAGTCACACGTTTGGGTGGCAGTAAATGGAATGAAATTAGTAATAAACATTAAATAATTGCTAAATTCTAATTTATAATAAAATATATTGTATATATGAGGGAAATCCGCAGTAAATAATATTGTATGTTGCTCTCACTTCCAATATTAGAGATGTATTTTATTTGTTATCCATTTTAGCAACACACTTACATTTATTTACCGATGATAACAACATACTTAATTTTTTGCCCATAATAATAGGTAATGTACTTTATTTGCTACAAGTTGTAAATACTGGTAAAAAAGTGTGCACGTACTTGCTAAATGATAAGGAAATATACATACATTGTTTTCATGTGTAAAGAAATGCAAGTACATTGCTATTATTAGTTAAAAATGTAAGTACATTGTTATTATAGATAAAAAAAAAGTACATGCTCATATTCGTAAAAAGAGTAAAATATATTGCAATTTTCGACATATATAATTGAATAACTATTTTTTTATTTATTTCAATATATACATAATGAGGATCTTTCTGTCTCCCTAATAAAAAGGAAGATTGGAAATGAATTCCTTCCCACCCTCCTCGCGAAATAGCAAAACCCGTCAAAGATGCAAAATTTGAACGATTACGACATAATTGAATTCCATCCACTTGGCAACCAAACATGCCAGGATTGGAATCTCGAATTCCAATTCCGTCAAGAACCAAACCCTTAGTGATTGAAGAGTAAATATTGAATTATGCTAAAAGTTAACATGATACTTTATGAAAATTCTAATGTATTGATGTTAGATGTGTACAACATTTACAAAAGCAAGCAACACCAAGGAACGTGGAAATGGCAGATGATGAGTTCATTCTACACGTTGAAGGAACCGCCACTTCACAAAGAGTAATACGCCATATCGGGAAACAAAGTTGGCCTGGTTTGTGTTAATTCTCTATTCTCTATTTCTTTATTTTTTTTAGTAATTTTACATAATTTATTTTAAGAATGTGATCTGATACATCCTTGGTGCTATTCTCATATAGCTGAATTTTTTAGGTAGGCTTACATTAACCAATTATGCACTCTACTTTGAGGCCTCGGGGTCAATGACATATGAAGATGCATTCAAGCTCGACTTGTCAAAGGACATTGACCACTCGATAAAACCAGCAGCCACAGGCCCTTTTGGTGCTCCTCTTTTTGACAAAGCCATTGTTTATGAGTCTGCTGAGCTGTGAGATTAATTACTATTTCATGTACTGAATAAGTTCTACAAAATTATAGGAAAACTCATTTTTTACACCAAATTTGGTGTTAAGTATCTCTAACCCAACACCATTTTGGTGATGCTGAATAGTGAAACACCATGTTTGGTGTTTTACAATTCATTTGCACCATCTTTGGTATTGAACCTTTTCTTTTACACTGATATCTCTAAATTTAGCTTGTTTAAGGGATAATCACAAAAAATGACCAAAACGGATGGAGGAAATTAACCAAATAACCAACTTTTTGGGACTCTGGAACAAAATGACCTCCAATTTCGCAATACGCCCTATTGCGAATTGTGAAATTGCTTTTTGAATGGTCCTCACCATAAAATACTTAAAAAGAATACAAAAAAAATTGGAAAATAATATGATATTGCAAAATACATTCATATATTGTGAATTATATGATTTTCCTTCGAAATATATTTTTGAAGGTTTTTTGTGGTAAAAAACTGTCGCAATTCGCAATGGGCCTATTGCGAAATTAGTGGTTATATTATGCTAAGTACCAAAAGGTGATCATTTTGTGAAACTACTCCACCGATTTTGGGCATTTATGTGATTATAATGTTATTGTAATACAATACTTGGTATATGTAATATTGTATTATAAGTTAAACTAATAACAATGTATGATATATATTAAATATAGTATTTATGTTTCAAACCTTTCTAAAATTTGATAGTTCTTTAATAATTTAAAAGTTAAACCATACTAATATGATAATTAATTCAAAACTAATTGTATACAAATACTTTATTTGGTTAGATATATAATCCTCTAAAAATATAACTTACAAAATTATTGTAACAAAAAAGACAAATCTTTATTTACACCAAACTTTACATTATTTGAATGTTTTTGGTTCAAATTCAGGGAAGATGGTTTTCAAATCGAGTTCCCGGAACTAACAAGTTGCACACGACGCGACCATTGGCTAGCTCTGGTGAACGAAATCATGCTCCTACACAAATTTCTATCTAAATTCAAAGTGGAATCCCCCTTAGAAGCATGGGAGATGCACGCAAGAACAATATTAGGCATAATCCGACTCCACGCAGCAAGAGAAATGCTCAGAATCTCTCCCCCAAATCCCAAAAATTTCCTAATCTTTGCATTATTTGACGAATTACCTACAGGAAGCAATGTGCTACACGAGCTCGCTGAAAGCTTAAAATCTGTAAAAAGTGGACACCCGTGTAGTGCGAGTTCAATATTACGGAATTTAAACGTCTCCGCTTGTATTCCATGTGCAGAAGCGGATATATCGGTTGAACAATCTGATAAAAATGTAAATAATCAACCTGACAATTTATTGTCGTTGGAGACTGCTGTTGAGCAAGTTAGAGAAGAGGCGAAAGAGATTAATTCGGCTAAAGCTACTGCCGATGAGCTGAAAGAAGACGGAATTGGCGACAGTGCTCTTGTATTGATGGTAAAATTTTTAATTATTTAATCACAACCAAAAATCGGAAGATCATATCACAAATGAATGAAGTGCATGACCACCTTTTTCAAAAAAAAAAAAAAAAAAAAAGTTTGGTGATTCTGTTTATACACCCCTGGTACTTATTGTACACTACCTGATTGGACAAAAGCATCATATCAGGAGGTATATTTAGTAAAATAAGTATTAAATTTTTTAGAAAGGAGTGTACATCTAGATCTAGTAATAGGGTTGTACATGTAGTAGCACCCAAACAATTAGGTAATCTTTAAAATTACTTTTTCTAACATCGTATTTTGTGAATTTTAATCTTTTTCATTGAGATGACATGAACTTTTGTGATAATGATGCCATTTTCTTGAATTAAATTAGAACTGTGAAATTTTGTAACATAATTATTTCTTTGAAATGTAAAGTTACTTCTTTGAAGGTAACATAAGTATTTCTTTGTAATATAAAAGAAAATTCATGAGATTTTGCATGACCTAATTTTGTTAACATTTGAAAAAAAAATAATGTTAGCCAATATCATGAAAATAACATTTTTTGTTAAAAAGTTATTGAAAAAACAAATTTTGCCAAAAAAAAGTAGTACTTTGTGATGTTCTATTTTTTTGCGGCAAGTGTAATAAAGGTGGTCATTTATTGATATAACCCTCCCATTTTTGGTCATATTTGTTATTAACTTATTTTAAAATCTTATAATCCAAATAATATTTAGTGATTATCAGGCTTAATTTATGAGTTTATATTTTGTCATATAGGAGCTTATGAAGCCATTAAAAAATGCATTACCATGGTTTCAAGAAGTCATTGAGTGGAAAAATCCTACAACCACCGCTACAGTGATGAGCACTTCGCTACTTGTTGTATACAAGTAAGTGATTTTACATTTTTCTAACTTTGGTGAAAATGTTGTTATGGTTTAACTTTAATGGTGGTTATATTTTCAGAGAGTGGGTTGGGAAGGCAATAGCAGCATTCTTATTGTGGTTAGTTTCAAAGATGATTTGGGCAAGAAAATACGAAGTGGGAAAGCAAACAAAATTTGTTGTTTGCAATAATAACGACCAAACAGCGGTGGATAGCATAGTGGCAGCTCAACATGGAATTAATACTATTTACAATATTTTGCAGTCTGTAAATGTTTCACTGCTGAAAATAAGATCAATATGGCTCGCGAATGCACCCAAGGTATGAAACTGTGTGCCTTCACTTTAGTCCAGGCTGTTTGGTAATTCGTGCTGAATGCGGAACTAAATGGTTTCAACCTCTTTTAAACTATTCTCATTCACAACCAAAACCTGGCAAAAAAAGTTACCAAACACCCCGAATACTGACCGATTCAGAGGTTACCAAACAACCCATAGTTTCCCTATTTGGGGATTATAAATTATATACGAAATCAAATTTAAACACTAAGTACATAGCAATCAAACGATTTTCTATCGGTTCCTTTGCAGCACACAAACACGATGATTGTTGTCATGATTGGATGTGCGGTCATATTGCTGGTTATACCTCTCAAATATATCATCATGTCGGCCCTGCTATCGACATTTGCAGTGAAATTGAACCCGGGTGATCGGAGGGATAAGAAAAATATAATGGGAAACCAACGGTTAAAAGGATGGTGGGATTCTATTCCTGTTAGTCCAGTTGAAGTTGTTCAAAAAGCAGGAGAAAGTCCTAAAGAATCAGGGCTAAAGAAGGAGTAACATTCTTTCTGATCTTGTTTAATCCCGCTTTTTTTGTTTAGATATATTGTTTAAATAAGTTGAATGGAATTTTGTTGAGTGTAGACATAGAAGCTTGTTGAAAAATATAGAGAAATATGTAGATCATGACATGTATACAAGAGTTAATAAGTTGAATCAAATTTTATGGTTGTTTTTAGAGTTGCTTGGTATATGATTAAATCAAATTTATTTAAGTTTTTTTTATTAACAATCATTATAAAAAAAATATATTATGGTGATTTAGGTCCGCCACAACTTTTGATTGATCTTTGAGCTAAAATAGAAATAAAATAAAAGTTAAGTTAGTTATGGTTATTTGAGCTGGTTGTCTAAAGTAAAATTTTGATAACAGTGACCGTGCAATTTTTCCCTAAAAATAAAATTCAACCAGATTTGCTTAAGCTCTTATTAACAATCGTTATGGAGTATTCGCAAAATCAATTTCAGTCCATAAATAATACTTCTAGATTAACCCATTTGAGCTAAGAATTGTCTTATTGTGTTGTAGTTCATAATTTAATCTTCAGAAGTTTCTAAAAAAGACGCCAAATTCCAACTTCCGTGCCTCTACATGAATATATACAAGTTAAGACCATGGTGTCACAGACTCAAGTTCGACATTTCTTCTTGCACGTGCGGCGTACCGAGGTCCCCCCATAACCGATACCAGCCCTCTCAGATTACGCATGCCAATTGGTTTCGTCCTGCTATGCTATGGGCTCATTAGGGAAGTGACACAAGCATCCGACCAATTGTATCTCTAGAACGTTGTGGCCCCCTTCATTGTCAAGCTCTTCAGCGGTTCGGCCAGTAACGGCTAGCATAACAACGCCCTTGGGATAGGGCATCCCCTTTTGAACCCAATCTAAGCTAATCCAGTGGTATAGTCTTCATCTTCTCGGTCAACACGGTCACGGGATATTCGGCCCGTGACAATTGCTGATAACAAGAGAGTACAACATTTGGCTATATATATATATATATATATATATATATATATATATATATATATATATATATATATATATATATATATACACACACACACTAACATTCTCTTGCATTTTTATTAGTAGACATTCAAACGTTTAAATTGGAATGAAAATCAGAAAATAATAAAGTAGATAGGCCCTTCGTGAAAATGTGTGCATATTAAGAGGTTGATGAAACGTGAAGTACACGAAAGTTACCAAGCACAACTTTGTCCAAGGCAAATTGGATATTGATCTCTATGTGTTGTGTTGATGTTTAGTTGGATTCAAAGACATGTACACTGACACTGATATTTGTCATAGTAGACAATTTTAGCCTTTTTAATGGGGCATCGGAGTTTTGGTAGAAGTTTATTAATCCAACAAGTTTTAGCAATTGTATTTGCTATGTCGCGATATTCCGCATTCACATTAGATTAAGAAATGACTCCCAAGCATTTTAAGGACTAGAAAATAAGGAAGTCTCCTAGGAATATGCAGGAGCAGAAGTGGATTGGCGAGTGACTCGGTATCCCCATAGTCTGCATCGGAATAAGCTATGAGGTTGATCGTAGGCGAATCATGAAACTAGATATTGTTATCAAGAGTGTCTCGTATGTAAAGCGAAATGCAATTGAGAGCATGTATATGAGGCTCGCAGGGAGTATACATGTACAATGCAGGGTCGATAATAGTTGTATTTATAGCATCATGTTTATGCATTGGTTCGTATGGGGTCTTGCACAAGCTACTATGAATCGCATTGGCCATTTCTATATGTAACACATGTTCCAGAAGTAGTGCTGAGGCTTGGCTATTTTGGACCTTCTAAAGGTGGAATTTTGGTGGTGTAATGACGTGGTGGAGTAAGCACCACAATGTGGCAAGGCTATATGGATTCTGCATCCTTTTTATGCACCATGACGTGGCAAACGCATGGCCACGATGTGGTGGCGGCCAATATGCAAAACCCTAATTTTTACGGGTTTAGAGCCCTATTTAAGAGATGTGATGGCTAGGGTTTGCTCACCCTCAGCCTCCATCTCTTCCCTTTCGACCTAAGCAAGCGATAACCTCTATTTTTGATCTTTTTGAAGCTTTTTGGTAGTTCTTGGTGGTCTTGAAGAAGAAGAACGTATCCTTAGTGCTTAGATCCATCAAGAAAATGTCCATATCTCATTCTTGCATATATTTGGACTTTTGTAAGTCCTCAAGCTTCTACCTTTATGTGCTAGCCTTCTAGATCGAAGCTTTTAATGCTTTTTCCTTCATGTTAAAGGTGGTTTAAATGGGTGGATTCCATAAAGTTGACAAATTTATGGATCCCTGAGGTCCCTTGTTGGTTTCATGTTTCATATCAGAATTTTTGTAGAGTTTTGGTCCCATGCATGAGGTTTTGACCTCATTTTCTCCATCTTTGACCTAAATAGGGTTCAATACATGCATGTCCATAAAGAAAGGATTTTTATGAGTTATTTGGGTGTAAGGAAGCCTTTTTTGGAAAAGATGAGTGGGTGGTTTAATGGATTAAGGGATTAATCCAATAAGTTGTCCAAGAGTACTTCCCACGATGTGGCAATATGCTCACTATATCGTGACGATTGGGGTTATCACGACTGTTTTGTCCTACTACGCGGTGGCAAGCTAAGTTGACTTCGACCAATGACCGTTGACTTCTGACCAAGGTTGACCTTTAGTCAACTGGAGGGTTTTGAGCTATCGATTGAGAATGTACCTGTGACTGTTGGATAAGTGGCTCGTAGCATCAGTCTTTGTTTCGTGTGAGTTGGTTTGATAGTTTGCTAGCCTACAGGGTGAGTTTACTTACTATAATTTGTACTACAACATGCATCCTTTTGTGTAGGATGTTGGTATGATGTAGTGATCTGTTATGATTACATGTGTTTACTGGTTATTATTTGTTTGTTTGCATATGTCGACATATTGAGGTTGGGCTGAGGCGGTCCTACTTTGTGTTGTAGGTTAAGAGACCCGGGCGGTCCAGTTGATATTGTAGGCCCAAGGAGACCGGTTCAGCCTAGTTCTATAGGCTTAGGAAAGCGGTCCAAGTTTATGTTGTAGGCTCAGGATAGTGGTTCATGTGTATTGTAGGCCTTCTGAGGCGGTCTAGTCAGGTTGTAGGCTCATGTGTGCATGTATTGTATGTGTATTGTTGTGTGGGGTATTTTGGGGTAACTCACTAAGATTTGGCTTAAAGTTGTGGATTTAAATGTTTCAGGTACTTTAGAGGATAGGGGGAAGGTGAAGATTTGACTGTACACTTCATTTAGTGGTAGATGTGCTTTTGGGAGAAACTATGTTTTGATACTCTGATTTTACAATATGATTACGTTTGGAAACAATGAATTGGATGTCTTGCGGTTTTTATGAAAATGTCTTTTGAAAATGAAAAAATTTAGTATGGTTTTTGGGATGTTACACTATAATATTAATGACATACTTTTGTTGAAGAAGTTCCTGGACTCCCAAATCCTAGAGGTTGGTGTATATAGATAATATATTAAAAAGAAGTTCATGAAGAAAAACATTCTACACGTTGAGTTGCTATATTGGTTAATGATGTGAGGCTACAATGGTGAGAAGTGTAACACCCGTTTCAGGTATGAGTTAATTTCTAATTTTAAACTTTCATTTTGGGTGGCCACAACGTGGTGGAGCTTCACCACGACGTGATATTAATTTTTGTGATCGCGGGATGTTAATGACCCGCGACGATGAAGCAATAGGTGCCACGGTGTAGCAGCTGTTTTTGGAGAAAACCCTAATCATTTGGCTTTGAGCCCTAACCCTAGCCTCATTTTGAATATTGTGAGCACATTTTTGGTACTTTTTTTTATCATTGAAGGAGAAGGAAGCCTTTTGGTGTCGTAGTTCACCTTGTAATCATCATCCTCATCCTCTAGCTTATCATCTGGACCTTTGTGAGTGTCCAAGACTCAATCAATATGTTTCTAAGATGATACATCTCTATATTTGTTCCTTATTCTTCATGTCTTGGTGATTTGGGGTGGTGAGGTCTCATAAAGTTTGCAACTTTATGAATCTCTGGACATTTGGGGTGTTTGGTGCCTTGGATCTGAAGTAAGAATGATTTTTGGTGTCATGCATGAAATCTTGGTCATAAAACCCTTATTTTGATCTAGTATGAATTCAATGCATGCATTGGACATGCATGTTTGTAAAGCACAAATTTTTACGATAGGTGTTGGTGCTAGAAACTCTTCTGGATTTGATGGACAAGGAACTTTCAAGATTTAGTGCTTAATTAATAAGTCCATGTTATGTTTTGCCTTGTTTGGACCTAGGGTTTGAGATCTTGATCTCTTTGAGGATAAGTTGGGAACTTTATCCATCTAGACCATAGGAAGGACCAGATCTAAGCTTTGGATCTCTTAGAATCGAAGAAAACGACTTAACCTGTAAGGTTGTTATGAACCCAGTGCCCACAACGTGGCCTTAGGTCGCCACGGCATGGTGTCTGGTAAAAGTCACGTATGTATTGTTGTTTATGGGTCACGAAGTGGTCATGGATGGCCACGACGTGGTGGTCGACTAAAGTCAACTTTGACCACGGACTTTGACTGTTGACTTTTGACTTGAGTTGACTTTTGGTCAAACTCCTAGTTTTGGAAGGAGGGCTAAGGGTTTACCTTGTGTAACTATATAGGTGGTGTATAACATCTGTATTTTGGATGTGAGAGCAGTAGCAGCTAATTATCATTTGAGAGGTGAGTCTCTTCATTGTACTCGTGGGTCAAAGGCACCAATGTCGGCCCACTGGATTATGTTTGTAGGATGCTAGTTTTCTTTGTGACTCTTGCATGTGTTTATATGTTTTATATGGGTTGGGCCTGATTATGGATGTTATGGGTTGGGCCCGATTATGTATGTTATGGGTTGGGCCCGATTATGTATGTTATGGGTTGGGCCTAATTTTTTATGATATGGGTTGGGCCCGAATTGCATGGATTGGGCCCAAAGCAATGT